TCAGTGATTCCCTTTAAAGCACGCATTGTGTGGCATCTGTGCGGCACATAGCACTCCGCCGCAGGAGAATACCATGTCATCCGAGCGATATCCGCCACGGGTGTCGACTTTTATTCTTTTCTAAGAGCCCTGCCCGTACGTTGAATTCCCCCCCCCCCTCCTCTAAATGTTGACTTGGCCCTCCTCCCCACAATGTTTTTGGCTGGAATGTTACCAAAGTGTAGGAAAAGTTTGCCATCACATAAAGACCATCTTCTTTGATACTTCGTCGTAGTGGTGTCACCATGGAGAGTGCACACTGGTAACTTGACCCGGCAGCCTAAAAATTATGTCCTCAAGTGAGGAGTAATTCTAGGCACCGACGGTCAGCCATTCTCTATTTGATTTTTTCCGTCAAACGTAAGACCCGAGGTTTTTTCCCGCAGCCTTAACATGATACTGACGCCAGTCATCCACTGGTCTCGAGGAGACTCTCTTATGCCGAACGACTTTTGTGTGCCATGCATAGTGAGCTGCGGTCCGGGCATGGGTTCTCTTGAAGTTGAGAACCAACTCATGAGAAAACAAAATCGGGCACGAGAGTGTTTTTTGAGGGAAGGGGAAGCATTCTTAGTTCAGATTGTAGGTCCAGTTCAGCAACAAAATGAAAAACAGCACAGATAAAAAACAAAACAAAAAATTGTCGGGACGAATGCTCAACCTGATAACGTGTTACACGAAATGTATTGCTGCCTCTCCGAGCTCACCATGCTACTATTGAAATGAATGTCCAAGTGATCCCGTTTGCATCGGGCACTTATGCAAATATAACGGAAGGGCTTTTCAACGTGCCATGCGACGACACTGCTGGCACATGCATGCCATGCGACGACATGCGACGGCACATTTGCCATGTGTCGTCGTGGGCACATTTGTCATGCCATGCGACGGCACTGTTGGCCGTTGACCGCCTCACAACCAAGCTGGCAAACCAAGCCAGCGGCCAAATGGCCCTCTTTGGCGAGCCGTATCCGAGCACTCATTCTGGAAGGCGAAGCCGCCACTACACATTGCGCCACATCACGAATGTGGTCAGCGTAACTTCAGCGCTCCACCAAAGCTGCGCTTCCACCACGTTGATAGGTGTGAGCGCGGCAATGCACATTTTTTTGCGAGCCTTTTACGCATTGCATACACTGCATGCGATGCATCATATTTACGCATTGCATGCAGCCTCATTGCATTGCATACATTGCAGGCTTGTAGGAAGACAATGTCTGCAAACTACCTCTTTACTTACTCTTCATGTCAAAAGATATAATTTGTGACCTTGACAGCGGTCACGCATAACTGAACTCGGAAAAATACATGACACCGTTAAGTGGAGCAGAGGTATTGTTTCAACCTCCCTTTCTTTTCGGGTCAATGCCGCGGGTAAACGTCGGGCTTCATCTGAAATTCTGTGGCTGATGTGTTTTAAAATATTTAGCTCCGTTCTTTTACCATCACAGGGAATTCAACTATTCCACATGAGTTCAAACTTTCAGACTGCAAGGGAGAAGTGCTTCGTCGTGTGGAGCAGAGAATTATATAATCGAATAATTCACAATCTTAAGCATTTAAGTCAAGCTTATTTTTTAGGCTAGCCATGTATCACTTTGCTATGCTGATGAGCAAATAACCCATATGATATTAAAATCACTTACATGATACGACATACATCCATAAAACGAAAATGCACGTGCACCTCTGGCGTACAGCAGTGTAATGGGAACAATGCATATGGCCAGGGGTTTGAGAAAATCGCGACCGGCCGGGGGAGGGGAGTTCACTTCCCACTGGGATACCCAAATTCCAGACGCCGCATGAAAAAAACAATGATACCGCTTGAAAGGTCTGGCAGATCATTCAGACTGCACACAAGTTTTTTACCTTAGGTGAAATCTGAGATCACAAGAGGTCACATGTCGAAACTGGTCCTTCCGATAGATGCAGCTAAATCACATGTCAAGACAGATGTTGAGGGCACGGAATACGCGTTAAGAGGTTGGGGAGCCTATTCCAAATATTTGTATTCCCCCACACGGGTTAGGTTAGACCAGGTGACCGTTCAAAATTAATTTACCAGTAGTATACAAGAACGAAACTTTTCCTCACGCTGTGCTCGTGACGAAGTTTATTCTATTAGGTGCAGTTTTGGAAGAAAGGATGCCAGCCCCAAACAAACCACTTTAGGCTGACCTAAAGGTCATCTGAGGTAACGATAGGACATATTTATACACCATTCAAATGAGAAAAAGCGGTACCCGTGTCTATGTGAGCAGTGCAATGCGTCTATGTCTTTAGGAATGGTGAACTGTACATGTACGGACACTCAAGATCGCATAGTTGTTGTTTACATTATTTGCAGTCCCTTCGACGCATGACAATGTAGTTGTACCAAAATGAAAACAGGTACGTTGGTACGTGAACTTGCGCGCCATCAGCTTCACAAACACGATATAGAGCTGGTTACACACGCCGCACCCCTTCATCTTCATCCAACCGTCTTATTTCCGCTGCTGGCAACATAGGTCATTGACCTTTGATGACTCCAAATGACTTTTCCATGTCCTTACGTGACATGATGTGGCGTAATTATGCATTAGAATGGTATCACAGCCTATTTTCAGTGGAGTACTAGAGTTTTGCGTCCAGATATTACATCATGTAACTGCCCATTGTGAGTTTTTCAACAATAACGTATTTTGCAGAAGGCACATTTATAGATAGGTTACGACCTGAACCAAGGTCATGTGGTCTGTGATTATATCATAGATGGCGTGTGAGTTAGTACTCTTTTCTTCACATGCAAACACCAAAACTATACACAAAGCCGTATAAATTCTCATCGCTAACAAAAAACGGTAAAAATTGACTCGACTTCAGGTCACAGACTTCTTCTTTCCAGAAAAATCTGAAAAATACAGAATATAGGTGCAATCATGTTCTATCAGTATTGCATGTTTGAGCAATAGGAAATGACCCACAAAATTTGTGTGTGGTCAGTTTTGTAAGTTTGACCTCTTTGACCTTACTTAGGCCACTGATCTTGGAGGATCAAAAGCTAAAATTTATACAAAAGATGTCAAATTGGTAGTTGAACAGCCAGTAAAAATTTCGTGTGGCTGCAAGCGTTTGTCTTTTGCTTGTGCTAAAAAACCGGAGGGGAAGTCAGTCCCCCGGTCAGACGTGTGTTGATAGCGCATGTATTTTCTACATGATGGTTACTGCAAACTCAGCTGCAAAGCCGTTTTTACAGCGTGTCTTTATATGTGTAAATGAAGCGTTTTGTTTTTACCCTCAATCGCACAAAAGTGTGATGTGAATTGTTTAATGAAGGAGTGAATGAGCGTGAATATGAATTGCCAAAGTGAATTATTAAACTGATGAGTTGTTGAGCATAATTGAGCTTTGTTGAGAATTTTTTATTATGATCACGCTGTTGATTACCATTGTTCATGCGATGATTTAGCTGGATTTTTTTGAAAATGTGGCACAACTTCAAACTCAGGCCAAAACGCACACGCCGCTCGCGTGTCACGCAAAAATCAGACCTTAAATAAATTGCTTTACACGGGGGCTATAACTTAAATCCCAGAAAAACAAGCTGGAGTTGGTCGCGTAATTTAGCCGAATCGCTTGGCACCCAACCCCTAATTGGATCCGCCTATGCGTATAGAGCAGTGCACCTACCAACATTAGCACATCATCCCCGGTCGTAACGAAATGTCGTGTTTGTCTTCAACGCCAAATAATAATCGTACCAGCTGAGCGGATAAACAAACCAAAAGCTTTATACGCGTTAGAGCCATAAGGCACGCAAAGTTTTGAGAGGTCAAACTGAAATGCTCCGAAGTGCGGCAATGACCTGAATCCTTAATAACTTATCCTGTTCCAGTCCTCCACGACCCAGATTACGTGCCGCCGTCCATGACCGACAAGGAAGGGTGCCTCGACGCCCTAAGACGGGCTCTTCAGGCCGCCTTTACTTTCCGATCAGAACGGGCACGTGCCTCCAGTGCTCTCCCCCCCCCCCCCCCTTCCCTCGATCCGCTCCTGCATGACCACTATGCTGTTTAAATTAGCACTGTTTTTTGAATTATGGAAAAATGTGTAATATGAATTTCCTGTCTTCGAAATAAAGTGGGTTAAATCCATTGCGAAAAAACTGGAGAAAGGTAAGCTGTCGGACCGTCTGCTCGGCCCCGCACTCCTCGGCTCCAATATTGGCACTCTTGTGACGTACGATGTACGACAGGTACTGGTATGGGCCGTGGGAACAGCGAATGCGCTGTCCCGCATTCTTGGCAACACGCCAAAGCGTGAGAAACCCGGGGTGGGCACTGGTCGCCATTTGCTGACTGGAAGGTCGGGCCACGCCGCTCATCTCCACGCTGCCCAATGGACACCCTCTGAAAGACACAAACGGTCGAGGCAAAAACAACGGCAAGCGGCAGAGCGACTCGAACAGAAACAAATGACATCAAGACAGCATGAGGGCGGACACTTGGGAGGAGAACCTGGCAAATCAGGTGTGACAGCGGCCCCCCTCCCCCGTGTTCCATCAAACTTGACATCTTTTAAGAGGACTAAAGCTGTTCGTGCTAGCAGCTTTGTGTCACTGATTTTTCAGCTCCTTCCGCAGTGCTGGGCGCGAGCTCGCTGCCCCTCTCTTCTGCCCCCTGTCCTACGCTGCGGCAATATGCATGGCCGGCTGGTCTAGGAATGGGTTTTGAGACATTTTTCCTTTATACTAATCATGCTCGTCATCAGCAGACGTATGAGCATTTGTACCGAAAACGATCAAGAATACTACCGTTGCGATATAGAAACGAACCGAGCATGTGCCCGGTGTCAACAAATCTGGTCAGGAGCATGGCGTCATGCCACGCGGACCCGAGGTACGCCTGTCATGGCTGGCAGCTGTCATGGCTGGCAGCTGCCATGGCTGGACACTAACAGGAAGCTGTCCCTTGCAGAAGCGGTACGAGCCGAAGGGGTTCATCGCCGAGCTGACGGCGGCCGAGAGCCGGCGCGAGCCCCGCATCTCAGTGCCGCTCTTCGACACCGAGGTCAGCCTGGCGCGCGGCTCCATACCGCCTATCGTGCTATGCCAGGTGAGACCGGACGACCAACGCTCAAGCACGGATCCCATGAGCCGGGTTCGATTCTCGCATCGGGAACTGTTGCCACTGTCAGAAGCACAAATTCATGCAGCAGTGTTCGCATCGATGTGTGGAAAACATGACCCTAATCGTCATCGTTGCGGCGTTGACGCGTTTAGCACATTGCGAGACCTGCGGACTCATTTATAAAAGATCAACGAGTTAGGGCTGCCACGTACGTGACATGTCTTCCACTGATGTAGTTATCGTGGCAGAATCTAAGCAACTGATTCAGTGTTGACACGGACACTCTTCCGCTCATTGCGCCAGGTGCATAAGTACCGAATGTGGTTAAGCAAAACATGTGTAGTTTTCACTTGACTGGCAACCCTCTGCATTTCATTGTCAATCAAAGGTCGATTAAGGATTGGCCTACATAATATACTACCCCGTTTCGTCCGCTGCACACTAAAAAGGCCGGGCGCGTGACACGCAAGACAGGTCTAAGTAAGGAAAGGAATAAAAGAGTACCGCAGTACACCAGCGCGGCAGGCAGCAATCTTATATGAACCCAAGCCTTCATCCTATGACAGCTGCTCTGAAGTCGTTCCAAAGTGGTTGACCCTGTTTTCGTTTGTATTCAACTTCAAAGTCTAAGAATGAAGACTATTTGGAGTGGTTAACAACTTGAAATGGCCTGTGGCATACCCTTCTCGTTGAAAAACGGGGAGGCTTAGAAGAGCCTTCCGTACATTGCATGCAGGATACCCTGGAGCTAAGCTGGGTTCACAACGGTGGACATCCAAATGACAAGTAAGCTTCCTTGAAAATTAAATGCCATTTTAAGCTAAACTTACTGGCTTAAAATATGGTCACGGTGGAAGTCAATTGCCGCTTTCGCCCAAAGGGGCCGTGTTCGTTGGGCCGAACGGGATTAGCGATACGCAAACCCAAAGCTTTTTAAGGATGGGAATCGGAAGGCTTGGCTCTACAGATTTGACAAAGTTTCTCGATATCACTTGCCGATGCTGTAACTCTATGCAAAGCCGGTCACTGCGGTTTCAGAAAACTCATAGGCTTTAACATACCGCCAAACTTTTCGCACAAGATGGACACGTAGTAGAATTACCAGCATGTACGTACTGTGGTGAAGTGATATATATGCACACAACAGCAAACCCGTGCGTGCCTTTTGGCCAGCCATCGCATACCGAGGCATTAGACCAATCTGGATGAGACTCCGTGTGAGCACTGTGGAATCTGGTGATCCGAACTTCCCATGCGCTGTAAGTCTTGTGGTATTGCTAGCTTAGACAGCTATCCACGTACCATGCAAAAAAGGTTTTCTTCATTCACGCCTTTCAAGTGCATACCGAACAATTATTTCCAGCTGAAAGAGCTGAAAGAGCTGATAAAGTGAGCGGGATCTTGATTCGATGGGTTTCCGACCTGGCCCTTGTTCGACATGTGGCCCGAGAAGAAGGAATTTTGATTAACAATCGTGAAAATGAATCTTTTTGTTCATGATGCCGTCTTTAAACGTTTTTATCGTCGCTTAGTACACAAGTGATTCATTTTTGTGATATAGAATTTAGGTAATACCGGTACAGCGCAATGAACCTTGATAGGACCAAGAAAGGCCCTGAGCTGCTGGTGCACTCGGCGTCCTTCATGACCGCCGCCAGATTCCCTTTGTCTGTTGCTAGTATGGCAATGGTGCTGTCGTTCATGAGTGGAGCGCATGCTTGGGTCTCCAACGTAATTCATCTCCTTGCACTCGGCCGCTTTGCACGACCATGGCGCTACGATGTTGAATGACTTTTGATTGGTGGGAAGTTCATTCACTTGTTCAGTACAGTCTGTTCGTGTGATTTAAGCTGTACATCTCTCCAGTGCACCACCGCTTTGATGAAGTTTGGTGTCATTCTGGTGGCTCCATGGTTCCAATGTGTCACCGGTTCCAGAACGCGGTCTTCTTTGCTTTTTTACCTTACGGTGCTTGTGATGAGACTGAGGTCCATGCCGCACTTCTTGTTGGATTCTGTTCTTCAACCTAGGCGTGATGAAGTGTCTTGTTTCGTTGTTGCAAGGCTAGTTTTTGCTTTCATACCAATGCATGGCTTAGCCTTTCCCTTATAAGACTGGCCGTCTTCATTTTGATTGATGTTATTATCGCTTTTCACTCGTCGTCATTTGGAGGCGTGTTGGGTCTGCATCAGCGTCAGGTGGAGGCGTGTTGGGTCCATACCGGCGTCAGTTGGAAGCATGCTGGGCCTGGATCGGTGTCAGTCGCAGACGTTTTGGGTCCGCACCGGTGTCAGGTGGAACCGTGTTGCGTCCGGACCGGCGTCAGTTGGAATAGTGCTGGGTCCTCATTGGCCAGTTATAGTGCTCTGGAATGTTTAAGAGCAGGTTTTGGCACAGATGGGGCTGTGATTTGGACTACCTACGTAAGCAGTCCTCATGCGATCGAAGTGATAATTCCGCACGGAACGCGATATCTGTCCGCATCATCCCAAAGGTGGAAGCAGTCCAAATGGTAAGTTTGCCCTGGAAGCTTTTATTATCAGTGCTATCACAGCGCTAGTGCTCTACTGTCGGTTCAAGTATCATATTTATCACGTTAACCACAAACGCAACCTCATTGTGTAAATAGTGAATCTTTGTGGGTGTTTCCAATCATATCAAACGCAGGCTGTGGCCCTAAAAGCAACTTTGCACCTAATTCTAACCCAGTTGCGTTTAAAATAGTTGGGGTCTGGTCATTATGCTTGAAAAAATGTTGGTTGTATTCCAAATGATAGTGGAAAAAGGTTTCGCATGTTGCGTTTTCAGAACTATTACGTGGTAGAACGGTCTAACGGACGCACGCGGTATCGCCAGTATGCTAAGACCAGAACTTGCCTAAACGCTGTTTGCGTTGGGCCCGAGATCAACAGCACTGCGTTCAATTCCCGTCATGGATAACTTTCACCATGCTGCTAAATGGAACTGGTGACGTTCATGACCGTAGCAGACTACCTGCATCGCTGAGTAGCTGAGACTGCTGAGACCAGCAGCGGCGCGGGTAACATCAGCGTCAGGCTGCTGAGTCAGCCGGGTCGCGGGTAACATCAGCGTCAGACTGCTGAGACCAGCAGCGGCGCGGGTAACATCAGCGTCAGGCTGCTGAGTCAGCCGGGTCGCGGGTAACATCAGCGTCAGGCTGCTGAGTCAGCCGGGTCGCGGGTAACATCAGCGTCAGACTGCTGAGGTCAGCTGCGGCGCGAATAACATCAGCGCGCGGTGCGTCTGTTCGCAGTGTAACGGGCGAAGGGCGTACGCGCTGCTCGACACCTCCAACGTCTACTCCACCATCTCCCGCGGCCTAGTCAGCGCCTTCAACATGTCCAGGGACGTCATTCAGGACCGAACGACGCCGCCATCACCAATATCAGGTCAGGGCTGGCCAAAACGGGACGGCCTGGTCTTCTTGAAAACGAGCCCGCGTTTCTTAATCCGCAACTCCAGAGCAGTCTGTACGGATCCGTAACTTAAGCACAGTCCGTAATGATCCGTAACTCCGTCGCAGCCTGTAATGATTCGTAACCCCACCGCAGTCTGCCATGATCCGTAACCCGTGTGTGGTCGTGACAGCTGTACCAGTTGCATGGCGTGATAGGTGAAAGAGCATGCACTCACATGTAGAGCATGCTAGGTGTCTACATCGCAGTCCGCATCTATACAGCCTGTTCGGTCGATATGCTTTACAGGGATGGTATTAGTGCTCATGACCCTTAGGCCATGTTTACAGAGGTGCTCGGCTGGGACGGAAATGGTCTTATCGTGTTGTGCCTTGGCATGCATGGTGTCTTGGCCACATGCAATGCACCACATCGATTGGCGTAGTGGTGTACAGCCAGAGCCTTGGCAAAGGGTAGGGCGACGGGAGGAGGGAGGGGGAGCAGGGGGTTGATAAAGGGCCTCCTGATAGTCAAAGGGCCTCACATGCCAAAAAACAACTATGGGGTATGGCCAACATGATTTCGAGGGGCCTGCTTTTTTGTCGTTATCTGTATTGTTAGGTTCATTAACTGGAAAACAAGCCAGAAGTTACTGGAAGATACAATTCTGTGTGCATTTTGAGGTCAATAAACTGACGCGAGCGGGCGTTAAATGGATGCTTGAAATAACCTACCAGCGCCTGTCATGTTACAACGGTTCAGTAATCTCATTCTAAATCGATAGATCTCGGAATCTTTACCAAAATTTGCTTTTGGTTCCGCACAGACATTGAAAGTACGTGAACGTAGATTGCAGATCAAAATGGGGGCACAAATTTGTATGAGCATAGCCAACCCTCTGGTAACATTTAAACTCATGTAAGAATCGAGTAATATGTACTGTAGATTTTGAAATGAGCGCTCACAGATCTTAAACCTCCGTGGCCTGACGTTGCAGTCTCCGTACGGCGCGCGGCGGTGATTACTTTCGGACAGTTAGGGCATCAGTTTCTACTTTTAGAAGTCAGTCGTGCCGTATGTTTCACCTGCGCGATTTTTGAATTGATAATGGGAGCGTGTAAGCATTTACAGCACGCGAACTGGTGCCGGAATATGGTGGTGAACTGCAAGGGTGAAGGTATTTCTCGCGTCACTCTGCCTGTTTATCGGTTCAGAGGATAACTTCAAAATTATGACGTTGATAAAGATGCCTCGTTACAGTCATTCTATGGCACGAATTGATTTTGGAAGATTTTCGGAAGCATTATTTCACGACGGGCGTGCTCGCGCGCTCGGCGAGCGCCGCCTGCCGTTATTTGCGGCGGCCGACGCCGTTTGGCCCTAAAGTAACTGCAACCTTGCCCACAGCTGTCATCGCTCGTGAGATTGGGAGCAGGCAGGATCAAAACTTATCATGCATTTTGTCTCACAAGTCCACTCTGCAAAAGATGGACGTTATCAGGCTAACATAGGCTGATTTTTGTCATGTTAGACCTTATTTGCATCCACTCTGTTCAACATTATAAGGTCCCATACCTTTTTCGGGGCAAGGTTCCCGTTCCCGCCCAAGGGCTGAAGGGCCATTTCGCTCCAGCGCGGAATGCCTACTACCTGTCAATCTGGCGACCCGGAAGCGGGGCTCCTGGTCGATCCGAAGGCTCTTGGAGAGATACATCATACATTGGTCTCTTCCCTTGCGCAGAAAGCTCTCTGACCCGGGCAGTTGGGCCCAGATCGATGCTCGACTGACGACTTGGCTGACGCGGGCTGTATGCCAACACCGGACCCCCTGTTAGGCACTGTGGGCTCCTGGGCGACACAAGGACCCTCATTGCTTCAGAGTCCCCGACCAATGCAAATCGCGGGCCCCAGCCTTGTTCTTGCTTGGGAAATGACCCCCCCCCCCCCTCCCCCTCCTTCACCCGCAGGGTTTAGATCAATATGGAGCCAGCTGTTTGGTGTTAGTGGTCTCTGGCCCAAATAGAATCCCGCATTGTCCATGCGGAGGCCATCCGGCGCAAGAGGCTCACTGACCGACATCTGAGGTCGCGACTGAAGGGTATGGGATCCTTAATGTAACCTACAGGCAGCCCCGCAGGATCCTTGCGCCCTTTGGGCCCTTCAGCATTCTAATGGGGGACTTCATCGTCTGTCCAGGGGACTGCGGGTCCCTCGTTGGGCCCACACGAACATTGCTCTCAGCCGATTCAGGGTCTCTTGTCCTCACGAGACCCCCCGTTGGGCACTGTGGGGCTCAGGGGCCGACCAACGTAAATCGTGGACCCCGCTCTTGTCCCGGCTTGGGAAATGGGGCCTCAGGCCCAGACCGAAACGGATCCGACTGTTTAGTACTTGTGGTGTCTGCCCGATATAGTGGTCCTCATCGACTCAGTTGCCCAGACTGGCGCAAAAGGTCGATCTGAATGGGGCTGGCTGGCTGGCACTTGCGACCTCCGGCCGCCCTTCGGGCTGTTCAGGGCCTTCAATCGGGCCTGAACAGACCAGTCCTCAGTCCCAGTCAGTCCCGAGGAGTCCGAGGTTACCTTGGCGAGGCGTAAGAATGGGCACGTGGTTCCCGTGTCCCTTGCGTGCGCCGCTGGACAGGCTTCAGAGTGCTGCGGCGACAGGCCTCCTGGCCCCAGCAGCGGACTCTCAAGCAACTGTGTGTGTTGCATCCACTGTCTCCAATCAGTGATGCTTGCGTAGACACTTGAAGAGCCGGCATAGGCCATTCGCATCATAATCGCATCTTGCCTTTTCAGGACTGGAGAGGCCTATCATTCATGGGAAGCTCAAATACATGGAGGTGTCATTGGGCAAAAGTCAGCTTAACATGCAGCTATTTGTAGGTAAGTTTCTGCTCGAATATGCATGAGAAATTTATGGTTCAAACTTGACAGTTTCGGCTCATCGTTAGGATAAAAACACTTATACTGGTGGGAGCAAGGACATCAAGACAAACAATGGGCCTGGTCGCAAGTAACGCGCCAAGCTTGTCGGCATTAACAAACAGTACCAAGGCAGTCCCTAGACGTTTGAGGCGGGGCGGAGTGGTATTGCTGGCACGAAATGCCTGGACATTCATCAAGAAGCACGTCAACTCAGCGGCACACAATATTGGACGGGCCATCAGTGAAACGTTACCGGCGGGCCTCTGAAGGGCCTCAGGCACAAACTGACGCTCAGTGTCAGCCCACATGTGGCCATAGGAAGTCATCATTCAACACAACAATGGGGGATACTTATAGCGTATTGCACGTGCTGCGCAGTTCCAAAGCTTTGAGCGGCAAAGAGAACTCCGGTTGTGTAGGACGCTGTTCTATCGTAATTCTAACAGTGGGACGTGTATACTGAAAACCGCGCTCCAAAGCCTTTCTGCGTTATATTCTCGATCGGATAATTCTCTCGATTTCTGTTATTTTTTTAAAAATTTTAACTTGCTGATCTCCTCAGTGCGTTGAACGCGTGTGGCCGCCGACTAAACACCCATCACCATCCAAATGTACTAACAATTTCGTGCGCGACAGCATCGCCAGACCTATCCCTGCTCTGGCCTCGCGCACAGCCGCAGCCTCAGAACCGACCCACGTCTGCCTCTCTGCCCCTCCCCTTCCAACTTTCAGTTACGACGCCCGCAGACCACCGTGCGCCGCCGCCTGACGCCCAGCCGCAGTTTCAGACACGACGCCAGAGCTGGTGCTCGGCGTCGACTTTCTGAAGAAAACCCAGACGGTCATCAACTTCTCCGAGTCGTGCGCGCTGGTGGGTGGCGAGAAGGTGCGCTTCGTCAGCGGCCAGGAGTTGGGCGGCCTGACGAAAGGGCGGCCGCTCTAACGCGCCGCCCATGTGATACGCTCATCAAAGTTTTATAATGAACGCGGCCGGCCGTCCGCCGCCGGCCACCGCTGCGGATGGGCGGGGAGCCGGCAACACGCGAGGGACGCAGCGTCGTGAGCCGCGCGATCGCGTGCACGCGGGTGACGTGGTGACGACCGTCCGATGACTTTAACAGAACTGGTGTCGGTTTTCAACAATACAAGTTGCACACACAATGCGTTTAAAGTTGACGAGCACCGGATGCAAGAACTTGCTGAGCTGCAGAACGCCGTGTGAGCTGCACCTGATCTGTACAGAAGACATGCTTCTCCCAGTTGGCGTCTGCCCATGATGAGCCAACAAACAGCTGATGTGTGTGTGTCGAGTGTTTCTCACATCATAATCTTGACAGTATACAAGTACCCTAGTTCTGTGTCCCTTTTTGGTGAGGTGTCATGCATTTATTATGAATCGTTCCATATTCATGGGCTAATGATTGATTCGAGTCAATGGGTTATAAGTAACACAATAAAAAAGCAGATTCAGCAAAGATGAAAACACGTCAAGAGCTTGGGACAGGCCCAGTAAGTTAAACAAAATTCTGTTTTTCATGTTGGTCCAGTTCAGATGTGAGCGCAGTACTGCTCCGGGAGGTCATAACGGCGGGCGGCAGGCGCTTCCAGGACGAGATGGTACGATACGAAAACGCTTTACACGATACAGACAGCCGGAGAGCGGGCAGCTGGAGTGCACCGACCGTCGCCGACTTCGTGGTGCGCTCACTTACAGCGGTCCGAGGGGTGAGGTCCGCCGTCGGGGCGTGGCGATCATTTATGACCCTGAACATGCCCTGGTCGCGGTGCGGAATAAGCTCACACATGCCGTGCCGCCCCAGTGACCTTACGATCCGTGAAATATGACCTCAATCCCGCGTCCCCTAAGAGATTCTGGTCGCGAAGTTCATGACTTTTTGTACCCGGACAAAACAGCAGGCGGCAGCCCCGTCCCAGACTGAGCGGCAGTACAGGATTTGGGGGAAAACACGGGCCTGGATAAGGAGTGTGCGGGCTTCGGGTGTGGGATGATAACGAATTGTATGCAGACAAAACAGGGTAGAGTTGCGCTTTTCGCTAATTTGGGTATGTGCTCCTCCCAGGACAGCGTACGGTCGATGGTCATTCCCAGCATCTTCACGTGCGGCGAGGGGTTGATATCATGTTGGAGATTTGGGATGAAAGAATGAGGTTTGGCAGTGCAGTGGGATTGGAGGATGAAGAGAGTTTCCTCCTGTCGGGATTTTACGATGCGCAAGGGGTTGGTGTGGTCGGAGTCGAGGAGTTGGGTATCGTTGACGTAACCAGACCAGACGCCCGCCAGGCAGATGGGATGGAAGGTCGTTCGTGACGATGCTGAAGAGGATTGGGTCATCAGGGAACCCTGAGAGACACCACGGGACAAGGGGAGGGATAGTGAGCCACCTCTCACCACTTGCCGCCGTCCATCAAGGTAACTTTGAAACAATCGCGGATGGATGCCGTGCCACTGCAGCTTGGTCAGTAGGACGCCGTGGTCAACGCTGTCGAAGGCTCGACCTAGGCCTGTGAATGTGACGGCGATGACGTGTCCGGAGTCGATCCGACGCACCATCCACTCCACAGCGTCGACCACGTCATCGTCCGTTGAGTGGCACGGAGTATACGCATATTGTGAAGGGGCAAAGAGACCCTGGACGTCGAGATGAGTTGACAACTGCCGACAGACAACCCTTTCGCAGATTTTCGACAGCACAGCACAGAAAAAGCATAGACCTGAAATTGTTAGCAGCCTCACCTGCACCGAACTTGTGAAGGGAATGAACTGAAACTATCTTTCATGCACAGGGGATAGCTTCAGTTCTAAACGCGCCCTAAAACCCCAATCATCATCATCATGTACAGGGAAAAACACAAGTGCCGATTGAAGTGCTGACTAGATGCCAAGCAAGTGCGGTTCTATGACAGCCAAACAGTTCTTAGCACAAGCAGCGGCCCATTATCAATTACAACAGTTCTAGATGACGAAAATCTCTCATAGCCTTCGAAAGCTCGGCTAAGGTTACATGGTGCAAAACTAGCCTGACTGTGGTTACGCACGGTAGGCTCAGAGGGAAGGACGGGACGCCTGGGCCTCCCCCGCCAGCTTGGCCGTGATCTTTGGACCTGCTGAGACAAAGTGACTGCTAAAATCGTCGGCCATGGCCTCGGCCTCCGCAACGCCACCTGTCCCTAGCAGGTGGAAGCCCAAACACGGATAGTCCGCCAGAAACTAGCCCGGTCACATAACATTCTGGTGCCTAGAAAGTCACGCTTTGCCTGGGCGCAGCAACCCTTAACCCGGTTTCGTGGACGCCGATGTCAAGTGGCCGGTAAGTATAGTCGCGCTCCCGTATCACACACGGCAGGTCGGGATTGTCCTCAAGCCAGGGCAGCGTGCACGGCGGGATGTCACTGCTTTCAAAGGAAAGAGCAGATCAATGGCATCTGGCCAGACGCACATCAGCTCACCCAGCTTCCACGCAACACCCACGGTCCGGTGAAACGGGTCTCAGTCTGCCTGCAGCAAATGTAGACTGAGCGCGTCCCAGCAGACTTTGCGCCAGGGGCGAATACGAAAAGAAACAGGACGCAAATGCCGCCGCCTGAACAGGACACCAACGATGGTGGTGAGATAGTCTGCAATCGGCGCCGGCGGCACCAGCTGGCACCAGAACGGTGCCTTCCAGATTCGGCATGTTGATAATTGGGTAGTCCAGAAGAGCCGCGGTCGGCTTAATGTGGGTCGGTATATCAATAAACTGCACAATACTGAGACCGTTTAAAATTGACATGTAGTGACGCGCAGTTGGGTTGTCGGGACGTATTAAGTCAGAGCTATAATGGCCAAGACAAAAAGCACGCCTCCCGATGGCAACAGCCGATCTTGGTTGATCATGTAGCTCGTCAGTGCCGCCTGATGTCGACTGAGACGGAGGAGGATGCACAGCGCCCACAGCGGTCAGGAGCTGCCCAGCGCCACTCAGCGACACCCACAACGACTCGCATGCTGCACTGGCGCTGGAGACCGGTAACACGCTGCAGTTTAAGTGCTCCCGGCACAAGGTTACGACACTACCAGCGCAGCTCGTGGCCGCAGGGCGACCCCGGCAGCGCCGAGCCGACCGGTCCTTGTCGCCAGCCTGTAGCTCGGAAACACTGAGATCCTGTCCGCGTCTGGGTCAGTCAGCCACGTCTCGGTAATGCACGTGACGTCCAGGTCATGGTCGCGCACGGTCCGAAGAGCAGTCCACCCTTGGGACAAACGGCCGGACGCTTGCGTGGTCGACGGTCAGCGTGTCGGCTGTCCTGGCAGAACTGGTGCGGGAGGTGCGTGCTGACTGCAGGCTCTGACCGATGATCAGGCGGGCCGGCACCGAGAGGGTCCGGGGCCGAGGTGTGACACGGCGCGGCGGCACCCGGAAAGCCAGTGATGCTCACGGGCGCCGGGTCACCGGCGACAGCCGATGTCCCTCTCCGTGCGCGAGCGCCGCAGCTGTTGCCGTCGTCCGGCCCGACAGTCCCTCTTCATCGCAAAAACTTCGTCGTGAGGGCATCAGTTGTGTATCTTTATCAGGACACAGAGGTTCATAGGTACAACGAAATAAAAGTGCATGCAACAGACACCACTAGACTAGGAAATGATCCTAGCTAAAACAATTGAACACGACTTTTTCGCACGAAAATTGGACATCTTGAAAAATACAAACATCAGTGGCGAGACTTCTTTTGTTCTCCGTATGAAGAAGGCCATCTTATAAGTTGCAGACCATATGCAGGCCCAGTGATACCGAATGGCGGCCTTTTTAGGTAAACACATCGTTCCTTTAGCATAAAACTGATAAAGCGATCATAAGATCGTGAGATCGAAAGACTTTCTGCAGCGCCCTTACGCGGAAAAATCAGTGTTGAGGTGAGTGCCAAACGTATATGCCATACATATACACACACGCATAGGTTGTAGGAAAATCATGCCTGGGCATTGGGCGATAATTCGCCTCAGTCAGCTGAGATGAAGGCTCTTATCAATTTGCTCTCCAGTCAGATGAAACTTGTTTCCTTCCCCTCGACATCAAATGTCACGTCTGGCAATCTGTCGCGCTATCTCAAATAGGCCGCGGCAGAGCTGTGCTCGGTAAGGAACGCAGCTTCAAAGAGAATGTCGATGTGCACTTCTTTGAGATTCATTTGGCAGCAGAAAGACAGCACATATCGGTAAAGGAAGCATTGGCAGCTGAAGTAGTAAAGCATTTTTTAGCCTTTACCAGTCACCATACCTATAACGCAAGGGCTTCACTCAAAACCTATTAACAATGGATGTAACGCCAGTCACGGCCCAGGCCTCGCCTACACCGCCCTCGCCCACACCTCCTGGGCCTTGCCCACACCGCCCTGACCTCGCCAACGCCGCCCGGGCCTCGTCCACGCCACCCGGGCCTCGCCCTCACCGCTCGCGTAAACCATGGATGGCGCCGAATCAGTGTTGATCACTGATGCTGCTTCATGCGCCGATTCTTACAGCCGTCTTGGCTCCCCCCAGCGCCCGAGTACAATGCTAGGGCCCGTCTCCGGTTGAATTCACTGCTGGGCGGGGACCAACAGCCGCGGGAAGATCGAAATAAAACAACGGCCATTTGAAGAGCGTAAATTTAGTGTTTCAATGCCGATGCCTTGTCGTCAATATACCCAAGCCTTTTACGCTATCGGATATACCCGATGTACTAGCACTAAATAAATGGGAGCTTTTGCGGTGACGGACCCTTTGGGCGATTGCGACCAAGCTGTGGTGAAACGCGTAAATATTTTGGATGGATATTGGTCGTCGTAAACTGCGTTTTCCATCTGTGTCGATCTCATGGCGCCGGCTCAGTTTAGACGCCAGCGTAATCTATTCTAGATTCCTTCCGAAAAACGGAACATTGTTCGCTTCCCGGTTGATTGTTGAAGTTGCAATGGGTCTAGAGGTGTGGAATGGACTGGGCGATGTGTGCATCCATAATGCACACGTGCATGCACCTGTGCTGTGCAGTTTGTTCGCTTACTCCATGGATGGATAATACATTAGAGGGAGACGTCACGCGATGTGTAATGTTTCACG